GGCTCCGCCTGCGTTTCCGTAGGCACAAAGATCATGCTTTGGAGTATCGTTGTCCACTGATGCTCACTAGCAATCAGGGACTCCGTGCTGGCGGCATTCCGTCTGTTTCGTGCCGCTTCGTCAGTCTCAGCTGTCCGCTGAGCTTCGGCTGCCGCCTCATTGGCCAGCCGCTGACGTTCTGCCTCTGCCGCAGCCTGCTGAGTCTCGGCGGCGGCTACGGCGTCTGTAAATGCCTGTAGCCGCCCACGATAGTCAGCCAAAGGCTCGCTGGCCTCTCGGACCGGGCATGCAGGAAGATCCCCGGTGGTGTCTTCTACTGTCAATACCGTACTTGATGCCGCTGGAGTAGTCCGTCTGCTGAATCTCTTGGGTCTTGGAGGTACCACAGGGGGGGCACGAACTGCGATCCTGGCACTGTGCCGTGGCAGTGCCCCGGTGTCCTGTTCCATCGACATCAGTCTGAACTGATGCCGTACTTGAGAGGTGCCAGTGTTCACAGAATACAGGGGGGTAGGGAGAGTGGGAACAGGGGTAGAACAATCAAGCAATATACCTACAATCCCCTGTCCCACTGATGGACTGTAGACACCTAATCAAACAGAAAAATAAATTTCCCGTAAATCACTCCAAAATTCGTAATAAGAATTTAATAACGATTTAACCAGTAAACTTAATTAATAACGAAATAATAATTCTTAGTGATAATCCAAAAGATAACCAATAATCAATATTTGCAAAAAGATAATACGAATTTGAATGGTGTTATGATTAGGTCTCTTTGAGATCACTCGAGTCCGGGAGTTCACCGTTAATGAGTGAACTACCCGGAAGTTGCAGTTTGAGGGTCAGATACGGCTTAGTGTGCTAAAAAAAATTTCGGAAAATTTCAGAAGAAAAAGCGCTCGAATTTTCAAAAACGCGAATTTTCAGGAATTTCCACCGTCAAAATCCGATTTTTAAAAGCCTAAACCTATTTTCGGAATTTCTCAAACAAGGGGAACGAAAAAAAAAATCGCGAAAATTTCGGTCCCAACCCTAATTTTCCGCGTTTCCGCGAAATTTCCGGATTTACGGTCCCAAAACGTTCGAATTTCCCCGAGTTGATCTAAAACCCAAAGATTTTCGTAACCCTAATTTCCAATACTGAAAGACAACGGAAATCCAAAAGACAACGAAATATAGGATTTACAACAAAAATGCCAAAAAACGGAATGCTGAATGGAAATCAGAAACGCTGAATTTCAACATGATACTGATTCAACCCTAATTCGTGTAACATCAGAAATCCGAAACTCAATCAATTATCGGATTAGTATTACTCAATCGGAACTCAAATAGCAGCATACCGGAAGAAAACAGAAATCCGAATTGTAAGTCCGCATACCGAATTGAACGGAAATGCCGACTAAATAGAATACCGAAAAGAAAAAATTTTGCAACTTTGAACTTAATAGTGGTACAGCGCTGATTTGGAAGATTGAGAAGGCAATCTAATTCCTAACCAGACTTACCTTCGTGAGCAGATCCGTTATATGGTCTGCTCCGATACCAAAACTGTTGCATACTTC